AACTCTATGTACAGGGCAAACCATAAGTATTTGGAATTGTTTTGCTCCATCATTTTGACGGAGGTGAATCAATCAAAACTAACTTTAGCTGGAAATAACATTATTCGAGAACCGCTATAAAGCCAAAACAATCTCTGTTACCTTAAATTATATGTTTGTCTCTGTAAAGCTCCTTTGAAACAATCCATTGTTAAAAGCGCTATATAAATGAAGATGACTTGACTTGACTTTAGCCAAGCTTCTGAAATTGATGGAAACACAATTAAAACACTAAGAGTGACTATTCACAGTAGTATCAGGAAATAGTATAATTTCAAAAAGGAACAGAAGCAATATCAAAAATACAAGAATCATTGTCCAAATTATGGTTGGCTCTGTAGCTTTACAATTTATTCTAAAAGGCATTTCTGAGCCATTTTGTTTTAGATTGTACCAGCCTACCCAGTCTGTCACTGTGGTGGTCAACTTTCATAAAAATTACTGTTTCAGAAAAGAAAAGAAAAAAAATCTGTTCTCTGCTGTTCCCCGCTAGGAAGACGATTACATCAATTTGGGAGAAGGTGTGCGGATCAAGAGATGCCAGTTTGATAGGATCAACCCTCAAGATTTTAAAAAATTTACAAGCGAGCTTCTCCTTGTAACCTTTGGGCGAGAAACACTAGCCACTCACTCTCTAAATGGAAGAAAGGCACCCAATGCAGAGACCATCAAGGAGGCACTTCCAGCTCACAAAGTGTCCGTCTTAATAGGTAACTTGTCATGTATTTCTACAGACTAGCTCTGCTGTGGAAGAGAATTTTGGATTTTTATTTGTCAAACAAATCATTTTGTTTCAGTCCATGTATATAATTACTTGTTTATAGTTTGTGTGATATGGGGAAGTGACTCAATTAGGCCCAACCGATCTAAGTTTTAAATATTTTCTTATTGGTATATTAATAGCTTTCAGAATAAGGTGGGTATTAAATCAAGATTTAAATACATAAAAAACACTTCAATTCAGTTTTTTACACTCATCAAATAATTGTTGATAAACTGTATAAAGATGGAAAACCGCTTTAGTATAGATTAAACTATTTTCAGTTGTTAAACAAGTTATATTTTAAATATCAAAAAGATAAATCATATCAGGTAGCATATGATTTAAGTTTTACTACTTCTCCAGTGACTGCTGGACATTAGCAGGACATTATCCCAGATAACTTAAAAACAACAAAATCAGTTCTCCTAATAAAAAGTAAAGTTTTAACAACAGAAATCATGTTTTTCCTTTGATATAAATACAATTTCAATGATTTTGAGTCTTGGGTCAAACAATGTCAAGATATGAGTCTTGGGAAAGCAAAATATATGAAACTATGGGATATCTAATCCATTATTACATAAGTGAATAAAATGATGTTCATTGTGTGTTATAAATCGTCATACTCTCAATAGTTATAACCACAAATAAGTAAGTATTATTACTGTTGTTACGATTATTCATGAGATGATATAGCACATTATGAGGTTGTTTATAAGGCATTATGCATGTATTATAATCAATTAAGAATACCCTTATAATGCATTATAAATACAGGCTTCATAGAAAGTGTTACCGTGTAACCAAAGTTATAATAATTATAATACTTATGCTATGTCTTTATAATGTGAAATGCATTAAAACACATGGCAAACTACCAATTTCAGATGAATCTGCAAATATTATGATGCATTTATCTTTAGTCACAATTATTTATGAAAATATATAATGCATTATAATGTGCATTATGAAAACCTTTATTATGTATTATACATAAAGGCTTTAAGAAGTAAAGTGTTACCTTAACTTCTTTTACTTGAAATGTTCATAGCCATTAATGCTGACCAATATGCCATTAAAAATTAATTGGGAACAGTATGAATACTTTCCCCAAACACTTGGTGACACCACCATTCAAGATTCAGTTTAAGCATACTATATGCCTGTGTTGAAGAGTGTAACTGAAACTTGAGAGTTTCTCTGAATCTTTTTTTCTTTTCTTTTTCAGACTACATCCAAAGGAAATTCAGTGTGTCTACATCTGATATCAAGGCAGTCATAAGAACCAAGCTGAACAATGAGGACAAGCTATTCAAAAAACGAAACCCACCTGAATAATGTGGGATGAAATTGGTTGCAATTGTTGCATTGCAGTTTCACTGTTCTTCTTCTGTACCTTAATTTATATGTGTGAAAATAAAATATTGTATTTGATCAGCATTTTATTTGTAGCATTTAATTGTACTTTCGTTGTATTTTAGTACTACTGTAGTTGTATTGCAGTTGTATTTTAGTAATACTTCAGCTGCATTGCAGTAATATTTTAGTAATACTTCAGCTGTACTGCAATAGTATTTTAGTAATACTGCAATAGTATTTTAGTAATACTTCAGCTGTACTGCAGTAGTATTTTAGTAATACTGCAGTAGTATTTTAGTACTACTGCAATAGTATTTTAGTAATACTGCAATAGTATTTTTGCAGTATTACTGTTTTAGTAATACTGCAATAGTATTTTAGTAATACTGCAATAGTATTTTAGTAATACTGCAGTAGTATTTTAGTAATACTTCAGCTGTACTGCAGTAGTATTTTAGTAATACTGCAATAGTATTTTAGTACTTCAGCTGTACTGCAGTAATACTGCAGTAGTATTTTAGTAATACTTCAGCTGTACTGCAGTAGTATTTTAGTAATACTGCAATAGTATTTTACTACTTCAGCTGTACTGGTATTTTAGTAATACTTCAGCTGTACTGCAGTAGTATTTTAGTAATACTGCAGTAGTATTTTAGTAATACTTCAGCCGTACTGCAGTAGTATTTTAGTAATACTGCAGTAGTATTTTAGTAATACTTCAGCCGTACTGCAGTAATACTGAAGTATTATTTCACTAGTACTTTAGATGTATTGGAGCAGTAATACTGCAGTTGTTTTCCATTAAAACTTTCAGACATCTAGTATTACAGTATACTGCAATATTGCAGTTTTTTCGTGTCCAAAAAACTGCATTTTTCTACATGTAAAAAAAACTGTAGTATTACTTCTAAAAAACTCCAGTAATTTTTTGTAAGGGTTACCTCCTGTTGCGGATCAATCACGTTGTGTTGTGTGGTGTGAACAGCTCAACAACTTGAACACTCCTGATTTCACAGAGAGCAAAGTCATGTAGTGTGAACCGCACAGTTCAGGCCGACGTTTTAAGTTAAGGCTACTTCAAGTTTTATGTTATCTGACATTTTCTGCTATTTATCATTTATACTGTGACCTTACATTGAATAATGCAGACGCATACAGTAATTCTGTATGTAGCCTATGCCTATAGTGTTATTTGTGAACATGTTGGACAGGGTCAACAACTGCTGGAGTAAAGTTCCTTTTATGCAAGAATAATTGGACAAATCAGATGGGAAAATCAGATCATGGTTTATTGACCAGTTATGAGAGTACCCTTTGGATTAGGAACACATCAACCCCCCTCAAGGCAAAACGTTCTCAAGTGGCAAATGCTCCAGCATTGTCAAGCATTTCCAGTGGGACAGATAGGTAAGTCATTACATGGAAATAATTTTGTAATTGTTTGTTTAAGTACAAGTTTCATATAAAACTTGTACTTACCTATACCTCATATTGGGTCTCATTCATGAAACATTCGTAAATATACGAGTAAATAATGCGAGTGATTTGCGCGTAAAGAGACCTTTCCGAAAACTCTTCTCCTGATTCACAAATACTTCGTAAACATCAGATGTGATAGTGAAATGTGTGTGTGTGTTAATGAATTCCAATCAGTCGTAAATGGGATGCGCGTGCACGTTCATTCTCAATTACCATAAATCCCGCCCATTAAATCCAACTGACAACTATATATGGGCATCATATTATGACATGAATGCGAATGAAAAAAAAAAATTCTCAGATGCAGAAATTGAAGTTTTATTATCAGAAGTAATAAAAAAAACGGCACATTTTATTTTCAAGCGTACATAGTGGCGTATCGGGTCCTAAAAAAAAAGGAAGCTTGGCAGCATATTACAGATGCAGTTACTGGAGTTTCATCTGTTAATCGAACATTCCCAGAAGTGAGAAGGAAATGGTTCGACATTAAGCTTGAGAGCAAAAAACTAATTAGTTCACTTCGGAAAAATAGTATTCAAACTGGAGAAGGACCACCATCGCAGATGCTATTACTGGCTCTCATAATAAGAAAAACCGTATGTAATTACTATATATAATATTTTTTCAAAATGCTGTGCAAATATGTACCCGATTAAGGTGAATTAAAATGCAGCCTTATTAATGAGCAAAACGTTCGGGTGTTAAGCGCACTATTCACGCGTGGCTGGGAGCAGGTGTAGATTTCTTGTGTACCAACTAACATTTGGAAAATACGAACATTTTAATGAATCAAAAAAATTACGCCAGAACCACTTTACACACGATTTACACAAAAATTCATTCTGCTCGTGTTTCATGAATGAGACCCATTGTGTTATAATTATTGCTTTTAGAGATGAACATATGAGTGCACAGGAAATTGAAACCCTTGAGCAGAGGTAACCCATAAACTGTCATTGTTTTTAGCTCTGTAGTCTGTGTCCCTTCTCAATACTCTCTGGTTGCATGTTTTCATCTGATACATGTTTTAAATTATAATTTATTCTCATAGTATGCATGAAATGAGTATTGTTGAAGACGAGTTGAATGAAAATGCCTTCAATGACCCCATGAACAGTGTGTAAGTGAGCTTCTATTTTATTCTATCATTGGATTTTTATTTAGTTGTTTTTATTCATTCCAGTTTGATGTATCTTACAGAATTGATTGGGAAGAAGAGGGACCCTCATTTCATGGTTACCCGGACGACATCTCTGATGAGGAATACCTTCCAACAATTTCATTTACCATTTACCAATTCTTTTAGTTCACACTGATGTTTTGGGTAATAAATAAGATCATGGTTATATTCAGAAAAATCATGGAAATAATTGAATTGAATTGTGTATGATCCCTGATGTTCTGCTTTTCCAGAATGGGTGGTGCACTGAAGGGAGCACAGGTAATTGATAATCTGCCAACTATTGGGATTGATGAGACTGTGCATGATCTGCCTGCCCCTGAAGTCCCTCTTGATGAGCCCTTGAGTCTCGAGCTGCCAATTTTGCCAGGCCCTCAGAAGGTCCTCAGTGAGGATGACATTGTTGGCGTCAGAGCATCATGAGCATCATGCTCTATGAGAACTGCTTGTGGCAGCTTGTGACATTTTTAACTCTGCCCATGAACAGATGCACTGGTGTCTTGAGGACTGGTTTAGTGTGTGACAGTGTTGCCCCCTTTTCAACAAACATCGCCATCAGGGGCACTGCAATGAGTGTTGAATGGGTAAGCCTTTCACATCACATCAAAATGTATGGTAACAGACAGCACTGTATATGCCTTATAAATTTATAAGGCTACCCTTATCTTACCAGATCTGCCCCAATGGACATTGCCTATGACGGTGGAACTCACAGCCTGTGTTGAAGTTTGGCATGCAGGCTGGGGACTTTCTTCTTTCCACAAACATTTTACTCTCTGGAAACAACTACACTAAAGTTGCTCTCCTATTTAAATTCATGAAAATGCGAATGGTAAACCCTAACACACTGGCCAGCTGACAGTCTTGTCTGGGCCCGGGACAAGATAATCTTAGATGGGGCCCCCCCACGATTTTTTTTATTTTTATAAAACACCATATACTTTTACCCAAAATGAATAATAAAAACACGTTTAAATGGGTACATTTTCTATAAATGTCTTCATTTTCTTTTCTGACATAGTTCTTGTTAAAACACACTAGACATGCAAAATCTGTGCATTTTGGGCACTTTTTGTGTGAAATCATATTTATTTTTTGTCCATCAAAAGTGTGCTTTCACTTTTAACCATGAGCAGCACAGCAAAAATAGACTCGGATCTGACCCATTATCTGTTCACCGATGATGACGATGCATTTCAGCCGGCTTTTTATTTCTCATCTCCATAAATAGTAGTAAAGCTAATCCAAGGGCTAGAAATCAATGAATTCTTTGCTAATACTTCCTCGTCATCATGGAGAGCGCAGTTCGCACCGCTTTCTCCTTTCCACAAGCGTTTGCTCTCCCGTGGCGTCTGTCGTTGCTATGCAACAATGAACTTAGGCGCGCCTGTAAAAACGAGCGCGGCGCGTCGCTATTATGAGCTAATATCCAAAATATTTCCATATGTGGCTCTTTCCTCCTTTCTTATCAACAAGTGGATTTACAGCCACCACATCAGCAGCACCGCCGGTCGCCATGTCTCAGCGCTTTTATGAAGAGGACGCAACTAAACGCGCTTTGGGCATGCACGCGCATCCCGGGTTTGAGAAAACCTGGTATGGTGGCGTGACGTTTAAAAAGAAATTTGTACCGACTTGGTACCGAAGTGCCGGGTCTTTGACAACACTCATAAACGTTGGCTGCGCTGTTTCTTACCTTGCTCTACATTGACTTTACTAACGTTAGTTCCAGCTTCACCGTCACCACCTTTTTAAAAATATTTGTTTAGGACATCTCGAAGGCCTCTATCTTCTTCTTTTCTTTTCTTTTCTTTTCTTTTCTTTTCTTTTCTTTTCTGAGCACCGGACTTGTGCTGACTGGACATTTTGAGCGTAACGTTAGCCTACTGAACTTCAAATCAAATGACAACATCATATTTCGATCAGTGGCCAAACCATTTTTGTTTTGGGGGTGGGGTGGGGTGGGGGTGGGGGGTTCTTGACCACTATTTCAAGGACAATTAGGAAGAAAACGAATAAAAAGCTTTTATGTAACTCAAATATTAGATATTTTTTCAACAAATATCCCTATTTTATTTTATTTTTTTAACAATTATTCCATTATTTAATGAGGGCCCAGTTCTGGGCCCCCCTCCCTACCCTGGGCCCGGGACAACAGACCCGTTTGTCCCCCCCTGTCGGCGGGCCTGCTAACACACACTACACCATCCAGGAAACCTACTGTGTTGACCCTATTAAGGATTTCTGGGAAGAGAAGAGGTCTGAAGCCATCAGCCGACTAAAAGGGAAAGATGTTGTGCTCCTAGGTGTGTTTATTTTTATATTTGATCTTGTTCTACATAAAATGTTATGTTATTATACAATTAAACTAATTTTGCAATCATCTATCATACAGGTGTTGTATTTTGAAATTCACTTTTTTTTTTCTTTAGGTGACGGCAGAAATGACTCACCAGGGCATTCTGCCCAATACTGTAGCTACACAATCATGGAGCTTGACTCAAAGGAAATCATCCATGTGGCCACTATAGACAAGCGGCAGACCAACTGGGACTCCAATATCATGGAGAAGGAGGGTTTTATCCAGACAGTGGACAAGCTTACCCAAGAGATAAAGGTAGTGGAGTTCTGCATGGATGCTCATGTCCAGATTGGAGCCCTTTTGAGTAAGTGGTCATATAATAAAATGTTTGAATATAAATATTGAATTGCTGATTGAGACACTAGGGAATAAAATTATTCTATACTTCACAGACCCAGACAAAGGCAGATATAAAGATCTGAGAATTCACCACAGCCTGGACATGTGGCATTAGTCAGGGAGCCAAATTCTTGAGACTTTGGCTCCCCGACTACATGGTGCCAAAAATCTGTGCAAAAAAATAGCTACCGTAAGTTCTAACACATCTAATTTAATTAATAATGAATTGTACCTTCCTGCATGTCAGGGGAATCATTTTGTTATGTTAGGTCTCCATCAAAATATTTATAAGGAATAACTTCCATTGTTTGTGTTTTGTTAAAGGGGTCATATAATGCCATTTTTGTACAAGCTAATATGATTCTTTAGGGTCTAAATTAAAAGTTTGTAATATACTTTAATTAAAAATTCTCATTAGTATTGTAAGAAAACACTTATTTTACCTGGTCAAAAACAGCTCTGTTTTCAGCACGCCGTTTCAGTGCATATGACTTTAAATGATCATGAGCTTTGCTCACCCCGCCTCTCTGTTCTGCGCATACACCGTTTGTAACACAATAACACAATATCCATAACGCGTTGTTCATTATAAACGTGGGATTATGAATTATATTGAGAACGTTATACATAGAAAACATGCTGTAATGTACCCTGAGTGTAAACCGACGCATTCATCGTGAAGCGTGCAGCTGGCGATTTGCAAAGATTAATATAAATATTAATATAAAGATTAATAAAACGTTACACTCACTTTAGTTCTTCTGAAGGTTCAGCAGGAAGACGAATAGGTTCCGATCCTTTATTCAGGTGCAGCTTCTCAGCAAAACCAGCTTTACACTGATCCTCGTTTATAAAGCAGTCCACTGAGAAATGATTCGGCAAACATGAGAGCATTGACGTTGCTCGTGGGGAATATTCCCTTCGAAAACAAAACTCAGCCACTGCGTCTTCAGCGGTTCGGATTTAGGAACATTAAAATGACTGCTGTGTTCGTTATTGCACCCAAGAACAGAACACCACAATCGCTTAGACGCCATTCTGCTCATAGACAGTGCTCCAGCATATCAACAATGACCGCGCCAATCCGCGCGGACTATGATTGACAGGACGAGCGAGGGCGGGTCTGTGTTGAATCACTGCTGTCAATCAACAATCACGGGAGGGGCGTCCGTTTTATTGACGTCACAAAATCGAACGGCTCAATTTGAGGCAGGGGAAAACATATAAGGAGATTAAAACAAAAACACTGGATGGATTTTTATCATTATATGATGGTTGTGTACAGGCACTGCCAACACACATTTCAGTACAATCAACTTGTAAAAGTGCATGTACCATTATATGACCCCTTTAATCACCATAAGGCAGGAAAGGTAAAAGGACAGTCTCTTCTCCTTCACTGGCTGAGGGATATAGTTAACCATTTATGGTGGTGCTGCAAGACAGCAGAAACATTTCAGCAGTTTCTTGTAAACAGGATGAATGTTATAAAAAAATAAATGATATTAATGCCATGATTCAAATACCTGTGATATGATAATGTTTTTGTGTTTATGTTTTTCTTTCCTCAGGCACTTTGGATTGGAGTTCTGCTTCATGTTTGCAACAATCACACCTGGGAAACGGGAAGCTGCCAACACGACCACCTTGAAGACACTCAGGTTAAAGAGTGGATTGAGAGAGATTCAAAGAGCCATAAAGCGCTAGTGGAGATCGTCCTCAACAAGCGTTGGCAGAAGGATGTCCACAAGTATCTGCGCTTCAGGTAAAGTGTGGGGAGATGACATTTAAAAAGAAATGTAACAGGAATAAATCATGTGTGGGTGTGTGTTTTTAGGGTCTTTTTTTTTTTTTTTTTTTATCAAGATCGACAGCACATCTCGAGTCATTTCAGAATCACATTCTGATGTATGCCAGCAAGCGCCAGGCCTTCACTCCCCGAGTGTATGACACGAGAGTTGTGCTCGCAGCCCTGGACTACAATTTCCACCAAGAACGACCAACATACAGGACGGCTGAGGGCCAACAAGTGTATGTCAAACTCTCATCAAAATTTGTTGTATTCAAATAATTGCATATTCACATTATAAATTATGTATTCACAAGTATGACAGTTTATTTCTCATAATGACTAAATGACTTGTAATAATTGTCTTTTCTTAATTTTAGTTATAGGAAGAAGTACAATAAAAATGCAAGAAGATATAGCCTACGCCATAAAGTGTCAAAAATCATATGGTTACATCCCAGAGTTACAAGCACGCATCTTGAAAGGGAGAGTCACAAGTGAAATTGGGATGCCATGAAAGAGGTCCCTAAGAACAGATGACCCAAGGCGGCTTGGTCTTGTGCCACCGATACCGTCACCACCGACATCAGAGTTGGTACATTCACAGGTCAGCAGAGGTCTGGGTAAGTGACAAACATCTACTTGCCCTTATTTTAGCCCATTAACTTTGCCTCAAACTGATACTGAATTGTGTGCACATGTCTAATTGCACATGTCTTTCACAGGATCAGCCTTCCATGCTGTTTCCAACTTGGAGACAGATTGAGAAGTTATTTTGCTGGTATTTGAGTTGTAAATAGATGACTACTATTGCAGCCTCCGGTTGTGCAGGAACATACTACTGGTTTTGCCACCGGACATGGCGTTAATGTGCGACCGCCTCTCTAGCGCGTCATTATTCTACCGTCTTTGTCTGGTGCTCTTGCTGGAGGTGAGTGCGGCGGCCGTTGATTGTCCTCGAGCATACCGGATTTTAAACTGTTAACCGTGTTACCCTTGTCAGGTGCTGGGCTGTTTGTGGATAAGCACATGTGGTGCTGAGGGTTTGCAGCCATTGGCAATACGCGCTGTTTGCCGGATACCAACGCATGTTATATATTTTGCACTAAGCATCGCTTGTGTATTGCTGTTGGCTTCCTGGTATTGAGTGGTGTATAGTGATGGGGTCTATCTGTATATTCCAGCTCTTCTTTGTGAACTTGCCGGACAAATGACGTGATCTCTGCATGTTTGGTATGTGCGATCATTGTACAACAATGATGAATTAATGCGTATATTATTAAACTTATATTTTAGCTCACATTCAGGCTTTTGCTGGTGAATTAATCCGCCTGTATAAGGGGACTTGAAGACTGTGCTGCTTGGCTTTGGACTTTCATAGTGCTGTCATCAGATCTAGTTTTTTCTATCTTCGCTCTATAGTGAAAATTAAATCTTATCTCCCTAAACGTTCGTTGAAGATTGTGATCCATGCTCTTAACAACTCGCGCCTGGACTATTGTAACCTTCTGTATTTCGGTGTATCAAAGTCCCAAGCGGCCCGCTTACAGATTGTCCAAAACGCGGCGGCGAGATTCCTTATGGGAAAAGGGAAATTTGACCATGCCACCCCCTGCTGAGATCCCTTCACTGGCTACCGATAAATTTTAAAATTGAATATAAAATTTTAATACTGGTGTATACATCTTTAAATGATTTAGCACCCTCTTATCTATCTGATTTACTGCACTTCTACTCTCCCACTAGAAGTCTTCGATCTGAAACGAAACTTCTTCTTCAGATACCTAAAACCCGGCTAAAATCAAGGGGAGATCGAGCTTTTGAGGTGGCTGGTCCCACACTCTGTAACAAGTAGGGCTGTTTTCGACTAAGGATTTTCATAGTCGAATCTGATTCGTTAGATTTTGCCGTAGTCGACTGATAGTCGAACCTTTTTTTTTTTTTTTTTAGATAGCAGCTAGACGTTCGGTTGAATAACTGTTCGTCTGTTATAGGACAACTCGCTCTACGTTTATTTAAAATGAACAGCAAGACTACTAGAAGTGAATGTGCTTTCCATTAAATGAATCCTTAACACAAAACAAAAAAAAAACGTTGCAATGAACGTGCTTTGTTTTAAATAAATCACACACAGTAAACAAAACCTTAACAAAAAACTTTGCAATGAACTTTGCAATTTAGGCGCGCAAACTGCGTGCCGGTGCGGTGAGACGTAGCCTACATGCTCGGGCAGATTCGGCTTGAAGTCGTTCATCCTCGGATGCAGCGTCGCGCGCGCTGTTATAAAAAAAGCTGTGCACACAGCCAAGCGAAATGGGGTCTTGCGCACCCAACTCGTCATTTTGCCGCGCGCACCTTCACGCTCGTGCGGACGCGTCGAGTATAAACAAGGCTTTACTCCGTGTCAGCGCGCGCTCTGATCGGTAAAGGTGCACAGACCTCTCCCGAATCATCTCCAGCAGTAGCAGCCTCCGATCGCACCACTAACTCCGCCTCCGTTTCCCTCGTAAGACGATATATTAGTATTTAAACATTCTCTATGATAAAAAATGTTTGTAAAAAATATTTTAATAGCACGGTTTTGGCGGTTATAGAGTTCTAATGACAGTGTTCAACTACAACCGTCGGTCTCACGGTTATATAATAACGTCACACCCCTCATAACACTTCCCTACTATTCGACTATGAGGTTCATAGTCGAATCAGACCTCTCCGAATCGAATCGTCGAATCCTCGACTATTAGAAGTCAGCCCTAGTAACAAGCTCCCACTTTATATTAGAACAACTTCCTCTCTGTCTGAGTTCAAGTCCTGTCTTAAAACTTATCTATTTTCGGTTGCTTTTAGCTTAGAATGATCTTGCTGTTCTGAACTGCTTGTCATTATTTATGTCTCTAAATTGCATTAGTTTCTTTCTCTATGTGTACAGCACTTTGGTCGGCCAGTGGCCTTGTTTAAATGTGCTTTATAAATAAACTGAAACTGAAACTTTCATCGCAGCTGTTTTGTTCCTACTATTCTAATATTTAGTTTATATTGTTTTTTTTCATCAACATGCTTCGGTGCAGTTGCTCACGTGTGAGCACGCTTCCGCGTTGTTGATGTTTGTCTTTTGCTTGCTTGTTTGAGTTATTTTGCTTTGTTAGTTGGGCGAGTATAATGGCGAGTATAATTAACTCAGTTTGTTTGATGTGTATTACTGATTTTTTTTTGTTTTTGTGTTTGCTTTATTATTTTGTGATTGTTTAACCCACTGGGGACCAGCGTGTTTTGGGGCCCTTGGGATGTTTTGACATGCACTGACATTTGTGCTTTTTTCAGTTATTTATAAACATGTTAATGGCAAAGGTGTAAATTCACTCTATATAGCACAAACGGGGCTACCATGATATGTGAGCAACATGTATGTACATGTTTGTATTTTTGAGAGAATATTATTTATGCATGGTTATTGAAAAACTTAAAAATAAAAGTTTCTGAAATAAGGCCAAAAAACACATATTGATTATTTCTTCACAAGACTTTTGAAAATTGTATCACATAGTCTAGAATATTTGCTCCAAAACTAATTGAGAATCATCCTGACTACTCATTCAGATAAGTCAATAAAGTCTTTTACATTTTTAATGACGTGTTTTGTTTGAGAAAGCTTTATGCGAGGAGGCGTGATCTCTCATTAATATGTGTGGCATTCCACACCTGAGAAAGACAAAGACCCTCCCATAATGACCCTATTAGGTGCTATCAGGCCCTATCAGTATGAGGAGCCTTGCACAAAGAATGAGGAGATATAAAAAAGAATGGCTTTTAGATTGTTTGGATTTATTTACAACACACACACACACACACACACACACTGCTTAGAATAAGTGAACACACCCATGCTAAAGTTTACTAAAAAGAGGAATAAAAAATCTTAATGCCTTAATTAAAAAAATGAGGAAAACTCCAACCTTTAGGGACATGAATAATGTCCTTGAATTCTTTGTGAATGAATAATGTCTCGCAAATAATTAAATGTTCTTCTTTAAAATACAGGGTGGATATGTCTGGACACTTTTATCACACACCCTTCACCATATAGACATGGTTTTATTTCAGTTCAAAGTTAAAAGTTATTGTTGGAAACATCTTGAAAAGAAAATTGTCTTTTTCCATAAATGTCTTAGTTTGATCATACATATTTCAAAGTTGAGGATTCATTATTTTGATATAGCTTGCATTGGAACAAACACTTTAACATCTTAGTTGATTAGTTTATTGACAAAACATACTATTTATTTAACATATGAGCAGAAACTCCTAACAAAAGCTTATTTGATGTCTATTTTAGAGTAAAAACTTTATCCAAACTAGTCGAAATGTTGTCTTTTATTTAGTCTGTAACAGTGCGTATCTGTGCGTTCATTCATTCATTCATTCATTCATTCACACACACACACACACACACACACACTCTGCTGTGTTTTTGTGATATATGAGGACATTCCATAGGCGTAATGACTTTTATACTGGACAAACTGTATATTCTATCCCCCTACACCGCCCCTATCCCTAAACCTACCCATCACAGGAGACATGCTGCGTTTTTACATTAAAAACCCCCATTGTTTTTTATGTTTTTTAAGCTATTTGAAATATGAGGACTCATGCAATGTCCTCATATATCACGTGTAAGTTGTAATACCAGTGTAATATGCATGTCATTATACACATTTGTGTCCTCATATATCACAAAAACAAGAGCACACACACACACACACAAACATGATTCACATTTAAACAGTATGCTATTTTTCCGTTTACAGACACTAACGTTATTCTATATCGCGATTAGAACAAAGCACTTGCATAAAACACTTACTTCTCAGCTGAATCTGTTGCTCATCCTCGAAGTGAAAATAAACCAGCACTTGTTCTGTGGTAAATGTCCCAGGATTGTTCCTCATATAGCCGCGCAAGACGACAGTAGATTAATCTGACTAAAAAATATAGTGTTTTCAGAGTTTATGGGCGTTAACGCGTCTCAATGTGTTGCTTCACATATTTGCGTTTGAATAGCGAGTGCTGTCCGTGGGCGTGTCACATTACCAGAATAATGAGCTGAGAGGAAGATAATTAGACCGGCTGACACGTCTCTCTTTTTATATAGATGACATAAACGGAGAATATTTATTTTAGTTTTGAATCGGATCATTTAAAAGTACAAACTCAAATGATTTAAAAGATATATTGCTTATGGCTGGGTGAATAGTATTATCTGAGTTGTGTTGAAGATTAGAGACGTGCTCCAGAAAAAAAGTTCACGGTGACGGAGAGGCAGAACGCACACCCTGTTTATTTTCTTTATTTTACAAAAGCACAATATTTTATTTCGATTGTATGTGGGCACATAAAAAAGTAGACATTTAACAGATTATTTTCTCATATTTCTTAACTCTATATGAACAGAAATTATGGTAGTACTTTAAGTCTATTTTTCTGCTATGTGAAAAAAAAAAAACGAGCAAAACGCGCCGGCGCGTTTCTGGTCCCCAGAGGGTTAATCCATTATTTCCCTGCATTTTTTATTTCTTTGTTATTTTTTGGTGCTGTGTTTGTATTTTCTTGTGTTATGAATAATATTTTTCTTTCCTTTTTTTCACTGCGAGTGATACTCTGCTTGTTCAAAGGAAACAAAC